CTACACGCGTGAATGCGCGCGCGGAAAGGGGGGCCCAGCACGCGCTTGGCGCGAGCGCGCGGGACACGTGTTCTCACGTGCCCACGGCCTCCACTGAAAGGCCCCGCTTCTAATTGTCGGATCTCTTAGGCGCGAAATTCGCGCGCGGAGGAATGGGCCGACCATGTGATCGGCGCGTGTGCGCGGAACGCATGTGTTCACATGTCAACGACCCCCAATGGGGAACCACTTGTTTAGTCGTCGGATTCTTTACGCTTTCAGCGTGCGCGGAGGGGAGGACCCAACGTGCACCTGGCGCGTGCGCGCGGGGCACGTGTCTTCGCGTGCCCACGGCCTTCTCGGGGGTCGGCCCAGTATCCAGTCGAAAGGATTTTCGACACGCACGAGTGCATGCGCAGAGTGGATGGGCACCTAACATGCGCATGGCGCGCGTGCGCGTGGAACGGGGTGTTCACGGGCCCGCGACCTCCAGGGGGGGGACTCAACCTCCAGTCGTCGGGTTCTTGACACGTGTGAAGACGTGCTCGGCGGAGTGGGGGGGCCCACGACGCGCCTGGCGCTGGCTCGCGGGGCGCGTGTTTTCACGTGTCCACGCTCTCCACGGGGGGACACAACTTGTAGCACGTGCAAAGCGTGCGCGGAAGGGGGGGGACCCACCATGCGCTTGGTGCGGGCGCGCATGGCATGTGTTTCCCCACGTCCATGGCACCCTGGGTGGGGGCCATCTTCTAGCGTGCGGATTGCCTACATGTAAAAATTCTGGACGCTTCGCGTATCCCACCAGCCTTGTGCAGCTTGCACGACCGCCTCAGGTGACTGACCTTTCAGACTCCCTGGGATTGCACGACCGCCTGGCGTCTCAGACGCCCTGGGTTGCCGCTGCTTCGCCGCCTGATCCGCGGCTCCCGCGCGCGCCCGGGAATTTAGTCGCGGCCGCAGCCCGACCGTGACTGCTCGCCGCCGGCGCTTCCGCCTGCGGCTGTAAAAAAATATTCCACCAGCCCGCACGTTGCAACTTTCCAGCCGCCTCCGCAGCTGGCAGCTTCCACCCCTCGGCGCAGCCCAGCCCCGGCGCAGCTCCCCTCGGCGATAGGATTTGTCTGCTTGCTCCGCGCGCGCGCCGGCAATTAGGGTGCTCGCGGCCCGTGTTACTCTTCTGACGCTTTTGGCGCGCTCGCCTCTCGCTGCGAAAAAAAAAGTATCCCCACCAGCCCATCCAGAAACGATGCCCACAGGAATTGCCTCGATCAGGGAAGTGGGCAGCACACGGAGGAAGGGTCCCCAAGTGGAGGCCTCTTGGAGCGTCTTGGGGGCCTCTTGGCGGTCCCGGGCGCCTCTTAGAGCGTGTTGGGTGCCTCGGAGAGTTTCTTGGGGCCTCTTGGGGGTCTCATGGGAGCCTCTTGGAGGCCTCTTGGGCGCCTCCTGGGGCCTCCTGGGCGCCTCTTGGGGCCCTCTTGAAGCGCTCTTGGGGGCCTTGGGAACGCTCTTGGAGCCCTCTTGGGCCATCTTTGAGCCATCTTGAAGCCTCGGATGGCCATCGGAAGCGAAAAGGCGAGAAAACCAAGAACATTGATTTGCTCACGGTTAGGGAAGCGTGTTGGCCTCTTCGGGGCCTCCAAGGGGAGCTCTTTGGCCACTTGGAGCCGTCTTGGAGCGGTCTTGGGGCCTCTTGGAGCACCGCGGGGGCCATCTTAAGGCATCTTGGGATATCTTGAACCATCTTGGAGGTCATCTTGCGCTGTCGGAGGCGCTCTTGGAGTCATCTTAAGCAGTGCCCCCACCCCCCCTCCCAGGAGGCCAGCATGTGGCCAAAACTTTGGTAAAATCAGAGATGTTGGCATTGTCGCCGAGGCTTTTTGGAGAGTTTTGGGTGCCTCTGGAGGGCCTCTTGGGGGTCTCTTGGGAGCCTATTGGGGGCATCCTGGGGGCCTCTTGGGGGCCTCTTGGGTCCTCCTGGCCACCTCCTGGGGCCCTCTTGGAGCACCCTTGGGAGCCTTGGGGGCGCTCGTGGAACCATCTCGGAGGAGATGGATTAAAGAAGGGGGGGGTCTTAATTAGCGCTGCCTCCCCAAGAGGCCAAAATGGAGCCCAAACCCTCCTACAACCAATGATTGTGGCTTCCTCGCCGAGGCCGTTATGGACGCTCCGACCGTTCGCGGAACGCCCCGTCCAGGTCCAGGTGAGGGGGTCGGGGGAGGGGTAAACCCCTCCCCGACGGGGAAGAGGAGGGTGGAAGAGGAAACGCCCTAAACCGCCTACGCCCAAAGGGCTGGTGGGATTGCGTGCGGGGGGGGGGAACCAGCATGTGTGCGCCTGATGCATGCGCGCGGGGCGCATGTTTTCTCGTGTCCTCGGTCACCAGGGGGCGAGGCCAGGAGGGGGACAACGGGAACAGAGCCAGAGAGAAACGAGGAAAGGGACGATGAGGAGGACGAGGACGAGGAGGAGGAGGAGGAAAACTGGAGGGGGATCAGGACGAGGCAGGCGACGAGAATAATTACTCCGACGGAAGGACCTCACATGAGAATCTGTTTAGCTTGCCCTTACCCTTTTCCTCCTCGCCTTTACGGACACTCCTCTCGCCCGCCGTTCTGCCCTCACCAACTCCCCCTCTTATTTCTCCCCCTCCTTCTCCACTTCCTCCTCATCATCACCCCCTCCCTACCCTTTCCCCGTCCGCGGGTTACCACCGCCAGCCCGGAGACAAGGGGTTAGTTACCCTTGCCCCCGATTCGGCCGACGATGGGTTACCACCCCCGGCCCGGACGCAAAGGGTTTCCCCCGTGTGCCCGATTCGGCCGTCAATGGGTTACCACCGCCAACCCGGAGACAAGGGGTTACCCCTGCCCCCGATTCGGCCGACGATGGGTCACCACCCCCCCGGCCCGGACGCAAAGGGTTTCCCCCGTGTGCCCGATTCGGCCGACGATGGGTTACTACCGCCAGCCCGGAGACAGGGAATTACCCCTGCCCCCGATTCGGCCGACGATGGGTTACCATCGCCAGCCCGGAGACAAGGGGTTACCCCTGCCTCCGATTCGGCCGACGATGGGTTACCACCGCCAGCCCGGAGACAAGGGGTTACCCCTGCCCCCGATTCGGCCGAGGATGGGTTACCACCCCCAGCCCGGACGCAACGGGTTACCCCTGCGCCCGATTCGGCCGCCGATGGGTTACCACCGGCGGCCCGGAGACAAGGGGTTACCCCTGCGCGCGATTCGGCCGAGGATGGGTCACCACCCCCGGCCCGGAGACAAGGGGTTACCCCTGCGCCCAGCCGCTGTATCGTCGTCGTCGTCGACGTCGTCGTCGTCGTCGTCAGCTCCTCAGTCGCCTTTTCAGGCCCATGACAACAACAAATTTGCCGACGACCAGCTCAGACGAGGCTGCCCGCACTTCGCTCACAGACGAACCTCCCGCCTGATACTTCCCCCGCTTTCTGGCCGCAGGAGCTGAGGAGCCATTCCCCCGTATTCACGCCGCAGGAACTGAGGAGCCCAAAAAGTAACGGAAGTCTCAGGAATCCGATGACCGGCTCGGAATACCAACATGAAGTGCGGGACCCGTCATGGCGGAGAGTCGCCGCGGAACCCGCTGGAGGCTTAAGTTTTGGCCCAAAAGTGACGACAGTTACACGGTTCGGATGACCCGCTCGGATTACCAACGTGATGTATGGGACCCATAGGGTGGGGGCTCTCGCCTGAGACTTCCTCACAATTCATTCAAAGGCGGGGCTCCCGCTCGTTACTTCCTCCAAATTCAGGCTTGGGGGGGCCCAAAGTGACGACAGTTATAGTGGTTTCGAAAGACCCGCTCGGATTACCAACGTGAAGTGCGGGACCCATAGGAAGGGGGCTCCCGCCTGAGACTCCCTCACAATTCACTCGCAGACGAGGTTCCCGCTTGTTCCTCTTTCGAATTCAAGCCTGACGAGCCCAAAAGTTAGTTACGACAGTTACATTTTTCTGATGAGCCGCTCGGATTGGCAACATGAAGTGCTGGACCCATGGGAAGGGGGCTCCCGCCTGAGACTCCTTTGCAACTCATTCACAGACATGGCTCCCGCTTATGACTTCCCCCCATACTCGAACCATACTACCCCCAAATTCACGCCTGAGGAGCCCAAAAGTGACGACAGCTACAGGTTCCGGATGACCCGCTCAGATTGTCAACGTGAAGTGCGGGACCCATAGGAAGGGAACTCTCGCCTGAGATTTCCTTACAATGGACTCACAAACGAGGCTCCCGCTTGATACTTCCCCCAAATTCAGGCTTCAGGAACCCAAAAGTGACGACAGTTACACGTTTCGAAAGACCCGCTCGGGTTACCAACCGGAAGTGCGGGACCCGTAGGGAGGGGGCTCCCGCTTGAGATTTCATCCATATTCAAGTTAGGGGGTGAGTCATGACGAAGTGATGAGTGAGTGAGTGGTGATGAGTGAGTGAGTGAGTGCGTGAGTGAGTGAGTGACTGAGGTTGGCGAGTGAGTGAGTGAGTGATGCTGACAATGATGATGAATGAGTGAAAGAGTGAGTGAATGAGTGAGTGATCGAGTGATGATAACGGTGACGATGATAAGGATGACGATGATGATGAGTGGTGATGCTGATTCATGGCGATGACGGTGATGATGATGAATGTGTGTGTGTGAGGAAAACGGGGTGAGATCCTGCGCGGCGTGTGCAGCGATAAAACGAACCCCACTTTGGATGTGGGGAAAACGAAGAAGAGGAGGAGGGCGGACGAGCGATAAAGAAGGATAGGGGGCAGGATGCTATAGGATGGTGACTTCCCCGCGCCCAGCCCTGGGGGACGTCGCACTGTTGTCCGCGTTGCGTAGCATGTTGAGCCGGAGGGGACGAAAACGCCTCCCCCCGACCCCCCCTGTGCCCCCTACCCGTTCTGCTCCTCTCGGCCCGTCTGTTCGCTTCGCTTGGCGGCGGCAGCACCGCGAGAGATGAATGGCAGGCTGTGGCCCGCCTCATCCTCTGTTCTCCCTGGCAGCATCTTCCGTGCAGTCTCCCGGGCCTTCTTAGAACTCATGGACTCTTTTCGGCGGCTTGAATCCGACATGAGACCCGACACCTGCGAATCTGCTCTCCCCCGTTGTTGCCGCCCTCCTCGGCTTCTTCCCTTCACCTCCATCCTTCTCTATCCGCCTCCGTTTCCTCTTATCGGCCCCGCTGCAGGGGGCATGAAAAGGGTGGGAGGCGGGGGCCGGGACAGAGGGATGGGCTGGATGAGGAGTTACGGGAAGGGGGAGGAGGAGGAGGAGGAGGAGGAGGAGGAGGAGGAGAAGGAGGAGGAGGAGGAGGAGGATGCGGAAGAGGAGGAGGAGGAGGCGGAAGAGGAGGAGGAGGCGGAGGAGGAGGAGCAGAAGGCGGAGGAGGAGGAGGAGGAGGCGGAGGAGGAGGACAAGAACAGGAGGGGCGAGGACGGGGCCAAGGAGGAGGAAAGCGAGGAGCAGAGGGGAGGCGGCCCAGACCTCCGACGTCATGGCTCTTCTCCACGAGGCGCCCTCCCCCAACACGCGTGGGCCCTCGACGTCATCCCAGGGGCCACAGTTTCTCGTGTCGGGGAACTTCTCTTGTGCGATGGGCTTATTTTCCACCACCACCACCACCACCATAAGTTGGAGGGGGAAAGGAGGTGGAGGACGAGGAGGACGAGGAGGACGACGAAGGGTAGGAGGAGGAGGAGGAGGAGGAGGAGAAGGAGGAGGAGGAGGAGAAGGAGGAGGAAGAGGTGGAGTAGGAGGAGGAGGAGGAGGAGGAGGAGGAGGATCCTCTCCCCCTCCAACTTACGGTGGTGGTGGTGTTGTTGGTGGTAAACAGGCCCATCATTGCGGTTCCCTCGGCCCGACAACGACATATCCGAAGAGAACGCGGCGCACCCCGAGCAGAGGCATCCAGAAGGCCACAGGGGACGAGAGGGAAGCGCAGGACGCTCCTGCGCAACTCGACGGACGTCTACCTGTTCTCCGCCACCCTCTGGGGCTACGGGAAGAAGTTCGACAGCGAGAGCGCGGCGGGGTGCCGGAGGGAGAGGACGGGTCAGGAGTGCAAGCAGAACGAGGGAGGGAGGAGGGGGCAGGGTGCGGTGGAAGGAGAAGAATGAGGAGGAGGAGGAGGAGGAGGAGGAGGAGGAGGAGGAGGAGGAGGGAGACGAGGGATGAGTGGATGGGGAGATGTGGGAGAAAAGAAACGAGGCGAGGGGAGGAGGAGGAGGAGGAGGAGGAGGAGGAGGAGGAGGAGGAGGAGGAGGAGGAGGAGGAGGAGGAGGGGGGACTCGTGGGGAGCGTGCAGGGCAGCACTCTCTGTGGCTACGCTCCGCGCGCCGCCGAAGAGGGCGTCGCATGGGAGGCCTCTCGTCTGCATTCCTTGAGGGGCCGTCGTGGGGCCTGCCGAGGCCGTCTTGGGGCCGTCCTGGGCTCCCGTGGGGCCGTCCCTGTGGCCCTCCCAGGGCTCGCCTTGGGTCGTCCCGCACCTCCTGGGCCCTCCCCCCGGGTGCCGGAAGGGGCGAGGAGAAAAAGGGCGGGCAGGACACGAGGTGGGGGGGGGGGAGGGGGAGGGGCGGGGAGGCAAAGGGGGGAGGGAGGGACGGAGGGGAGGAAGGGCCTCCCCTCCCTCCCTCCCACCTCCGCCCCGCAACGGGGGGGCGGGGGGGGGGGGGCTCAATCGGCCCCAGGGGGGGGGGCGCGAGGCGTCCTCGCCCGTCATGGACTACTTCTCGCCGGCGGTGCGGCAGGCAGCCCCCTCCCTCGGCCCCCGGCGGACCTCGAGCGGCGCGCCGCCGGCCTCACGCTCCTGCAGAGGAGGGCGGCGGCGACCGCGGGCGGGGAGTGCCCGCTCTGAGAGGAAGGTCGGGGAGGGAGAAGTTCAGGGGCGCATCTTCTAACATGCTTGGCCTCCTGGACGGGGTCGGGGTAGATGATCTGATCGGAGGATCGCGCCGCATCGCCGACGCATCACCGACACTGCTCCCTGTGGAGCCCGATTTGCTTCACGTCGACGTTGTCGATGCATCGCCCACGTCGACGATGCATCGCCAGTGCATGGCCGATGCATCGCCGACGCATCGTCGATGCATCGCCGACGTATCGGCGATGCGGCGCGATCCTCCGACCCCATCTACTCCGACCCGGGCCCCATCTGGGAGGCCTCTAAACATGTTCGTCGGTTCTGGCTGGTTTCCCAGCCTCGGGCTTCGTTCCAGCAGCTGCGCCTCGCCGAGGGCCTCCTGGGGGTGCCCGGATCGTCCCGAGCGGCCGCCAGAGGCCCGAGCTAAGGCCCAGAAGCCACCGGCGGCATAGGGGAGGAACGGCTCGTGGGGGAGCGCATCGGCCCCCGATCGCCCAGTCATCGCCGACAGCGGCCCGATCGCCCACCTCGCCCAGGAATGCGCAAGGGGCCCCAAAGCGGGGTCGAGCGTGGTGACCCCGGAGCGAGGTCCGGCGTAATGGCCAGGGGCGGGACCAGGTGTGCAGCAGCCGAATTCACGGAGTCTGCTGCAGCGGTGACAGGGAGAGTCCCTGGCGCAGAGCCTCGGGCCACTGCACGGGGCGCAGCAGGAAAGAAGCCGGAGGAGGAGGAGGAGGAGGAGGAGGAGGAGGAG